CAAGTCTCTTGTCCTTCATTTTTCTTGGCCTAATTTTACCACCTGACATTGCTCACCCTCTCCTACAGATCATTCCCTTTTTATTTTCATTGACTGCAGATGATTCCCAATGTGGGAAAACATGTGAACAATAGAACAAATATACATACCCACTACCCAGTTCCAACCAATCTTACAACAGCAACTTCCATCTTGTGTTTTTAAGAAATAAATATTAAAAGCTGAGTATGAGGACATGCTCCTGTGATCCCAGTACTTGAGAGAAGGCAAGAAGATCATTACAAGTTCAAGGACAGCCTGGTTTACATAGTATATTCCAAAGCAGCCAGCACTACATAGACCCTGTCTTAAAAAAAAAAAAAGAAAGAAAGAAAGAAAGAAAGAAAGAAAGAAAGAAAGAAAAGGGGTAAAAAAGAAAAAAGACAATGATATTGTTCACACTTGCCCCATGATCCTCCCCAGGCCTCTTCCTCTCTTATAATTTTATGACCATGCATTTTGTGCCTTATATATTATACTTTTGCTATCTACTGCATCTATGTAGCCAAGTGCTGAAATTTTAAGACTTTGCATAGATATTATATGATACATTATTTTTTGCTTAACTCCAGAGCTCTGATATTTAATTCTGTTACTATTTAAAGCTCAAATTCATTCATTTTAATTTCAAAATAGTACTGTTTACCTTCATGAAAACCATAATTTAGCCATTCACCTTCTAACAGGCATTTCCTTTGCTTCCATCTGTTACAAAGAATGCAAAATCAATTATTCACTTATTTTTTGCTCAGAAAGTATAGTTTTGCCAGCATCTCTGCCTAGAAATGAATGTCTGGGTTTGAGAGTATGTCATAGTTAGGGTTTCTTCTATTGCTATAAAGAAACATCATGATCACAGCAACTCTTTTTTTTTCTAATTTTCATATCAAAATGGAAAACTGGAAATGAACTTTAATAAAGAGACAGAGATTTGGGTTTAGGAAATTATAGACACATAAATAGAAAGAAAGTGTTTGCTAGAGGATTTGGAATTTAAGAAATTAAGAATGTTCCAGTCCTCCCTATGTGGAAGACAGTTATGAAGCTTGAACTATCTGAGGGTCCCTGGCAATAGGACCAGGATCTGTCCCTGGTATGTGAGTCAGTTGTTGGAACCCATTCCCAATAGTGGGATGCCATGCTCAACTTTAAAGCATGGGAGAGGGCCTTGGTCCTGCCTCAATCTATTGTGCCAGACAATGTTGACTCCATGAACCACAGCAACTCTTATAAGGAAAATATTTAATTGAGGGGGCTGGCTTAGTTTTAGAGGTTTAGTCCATTATCATCATGGTAGGGAGCATGGCAGATGTGGCACTAGAGAAACAGCTGAGATTCCTACATCTTGCAGGCAACAGGAAGTCAAGTGAGACACTAGGCGGTATCCTGAGCATAGGAAACCTCAATGCCTGCCTCCACAGTGACACACTTCCTCCAACAAAGCCACACCCACTCCAACAAAGCCACACCTCCTAGTAGTGCCACTCCCTATGAGACTATGGAGGCCAATTACATTCAAACCACCACAGGGTGAGTTCTCATTTTTAGCAGACATTGTCAATTGTTCTTTACAAACCTCGAATTCTATCCAAGTTCTCAATGTTCTAAATCCTCAAAAAACACTTGGTGCTGCATCTGAGGGAATGCAATGAAGAAACTGCCAAGATGACAGCTCCAGGAAGAGGAAGGTTTTTATTGTGAGCAAAACAGGGAAAACATACAGAGGCATCTGTAAGAGTCCACAGTAGAGGAAAAGGAAGCAGACTGGACATGGTCAGGGTCTAGGGAAGCAGGAGCGAGTGGTGGAAATAGCAAGAGACAGGCACAGTGAGCGAGTGGAGAATAGAGTAACAAGAGAGACTTAGAGTGGACAAAACATATAGATTATCAGGTAGCTAGAGGGAGAGATTCATTTGGGGGATGGAAAAATTCCTGAGGAATGCTGGCTTTGATCTACAGAAATCCTTCTATAGTCCAGCTTGAGATCACTTCTAGACCTAAGACCTAACAGATGCTACCCAACTTTTAAGTGTTTTGCAAAATAAATGATTGTTAAGAAATATTTCATGGTTTTAGGTTCCCTGAATAGTAATAAAGTTATGTATCCTTTTATGTTTTAGCAATCACTAAAGTATACTGGACAATTAATTATTCATATATTTAGTTTTTTTTCTGCTAGATTGTGTGTGTGTGTGTGTGTGTGTTGTTAGTTATTAAACCTAGAGCCTGCCACAAGGTCAACAGTTCTATCTCCTTGTTTTCCTTGGAATAAGCTCCCATTATATAACTTCAACTAGTCTTGAACTTGCTACGCTACCCAGGGTACCCTCAAACTCACATCCCACTTGCTTCAGCTGCTGGATACGGATTGTCAGGCATGTGTCATCATGCTTCACTCTATTGTCTTAAAGTATATGCATTGTGGAAAATAGTGCAACTAAAGCTATCCTTCTCATTCTATTTTAAGATAATAACTTTAGTGGTGAGGGTTGCAGTGACTTGTGCCTACTAAATATATATGCAATCACTGACCCATAGCCGTCACCCCTACTCTTCCACATTATTCTGAAAGTTGCAAAGTTGTGCTTTTCACTGTTGGATTTTTAATCTACCTGTCCTAGTCCCCCACCCCCACCCCCTGCCACTGATAAAACACTGACCAAAACCATCTTGAGAAGGAAAAGGGCTTATTTCATCTCACAGATTAGAGTCCATCAACAGAAGCCAAAGCAGAAGCTGATGCAGGAATCATAGAGGGATACTGCCTACTGGCTCACTTTCCTTGGCTTGCTTAACTATCTTTCCTATACAGCTCAGTAATCAGGAAACCACCTTCACAGGCCAATCTGATGAAGGCAATTCCCCAGTTGGGATTTTTTCCTGTTAGGTATAGCTATGCTTGTGTTGAGCTTACAAGACCTATGACATTCCACCTTTTTATCAAATTTGACATACAAACACAGTTTTAAACCACCCCCTTTTTATTTCTTTTCTGGGATCTCATGTTAGTCTCAATACGACTTTCAAATGTTTCAGTCTTAGCCAAGCAGTGGTGGAGCACACCTTTAATCCCATTGCTTAGGAGGCAGAGGCAGGTGGATTTCTGAGTCTGAGGCCAGCCTGGTCTACAGAGATGATTCCAGGAAAACCTGTCTCAAAGAACAAACAAAATATTCAATTCAATCTTTTAAAAATACCAATTATTTGTAAAGCCTACATTCTCTTTAAAGATCTGAAGTCTCTTAACTATAGGTTCCTATAAAATCCAAAATAAGTTACATACCTTCTTGTTCCAGAGGGAAGAACCTGGACGCAGTTAAGATCAGGCCAAAGGAAAGTCAAAATGTAACAGAGTAAAAAGCTTAATGGCAGCTATCTGAGACTCATTTGTGAACTTCTGGGCTCTAAAGTGCTTGGTTAACCTCACCTCCCCAGCTCTGCTATCCAGAGTATACACAGCTTGTCTGGTGGTCTCGGGGTGTCTATTTATTTTAATACCTCCCAAAAGTGATTTTTCCATGCATGGTGAGATGTAAGGATCTAGTTTTATAATTTTCCATGTGGAAAAAATCAATATTCCCAGTGGTATTTAGCGAAGAATCTATTCTTCACTGATATGAAATGGCATATATAGTGAGTATCGATCTTCTATGCGCGTATGGGTCAATTTGAGGGTCACATTCATACTATGGTCTGTGTTCGTAGTATAGTCTTAACTAGCATAGCTTTAAAGGAAATCTTGATATCTAGTCAAATATAGATTCTGGAGCAAATGACTAACACAACTGAAGTGGTAGTACTTTGGTGACTATTAACAGACTGGAAAAGTTAAATTAACAGGATTTCTTTGTGGGGGTGGATTCAGTAACCCAGGTTGGGTATCACAAAAGCTTACATGGCAGTGTGAAAGAGAGAGCAAGGATTTGAAAAGGTCCTTTCAAAGAAGAGGTAAATAAGGGTTATTTTGCTAAAGAAGATCAGGAGAGAGGAAGAAGGCATGTAGCTTTAAGTTTTCAGGGTTGATGTCTGTGTGAAATGATGTTATAGACAGTGAGTAGTACTTTCACAATGGGCTATATTAAGAGATCTAGACTAGGCATGTGTGCTTGAACTTCACATAGTTGGAGTCACCTGGGTAATCTCCCAATTTAGGGGACGAAAAAAAAAAAAAAAAAAACATGGAAAGAGAAAACACCTTACTGGGTGACCAACAGAGGGTTTCATAACTTAAGGAATTTTTTTTTTTTTTCTTTCTGGCAGCATGCTGTGGGTCCTATCGACCCAGCTCATGGGCTGTGCCTGTTTCTTTTCTCTGACAGTCTTCAAAGTTCTCCCTCAGAACTCTTTCTTTCTGGTGTGTTGCAGACAGTATTTCGAAGCCCGCCTTCCCCTAGACCGGAGGGATATGGAGTCCTGAAGTCGTTCGGGTGTCTGGCTGCATGGCTGCAGTTCCCCAGGTTGGTCGCAGGGGGCGAAATCTGCGGCGGCCTGGCAGGCGGGCGGGGGCGGGAGGCGCCGCTCTCTCTCGGGTCAGACTCTCTCCTCCCAGCTCCCCAGTTCCCCGGCTGGCTCCCGGGCTCCCGGGCTCCCAGGCTCCCAGCGCCCGGTGGCGCCGGAGCCCTTTCTGTCCGCCTAGACCAGGCGGGTGGGCGGCAGGCCGCAGGAAGCGGTGTCGTGGAATCCGCTGGCAGTCCGCAGCCCTGCAGAGCCTGGAGGCCGCCCTGATGGAGCCGCAGCTCCCGGTCGGAGCTCAGCCTCTGGCAGTATCCGTCTGAGAGAAGGGGGAAGGGGAAGGGAGGCCACATGGGCGGGGGGCGCGGGCCGGGATGCTGCAGGACTGGGGGCGAGCGGAGCAGGGGGAGGGGGCCGGCTCGGGAGGGGACACAGGGGGAACCGAGAAGGACGGCCGGTGTGCGCCTCCCCCCCCCGTGTCACCCCTCCTTGGCTGAGTTTGCAAGAAAAAAAAATAAGAGAGAGAGAGAGACCCTTGACCAGTGCCTGCATATGGTGGAGGGTTTGGAGATGAAGGGTCCCCTCCGGGAGCCTTGCGCCCTGACCCTAGCCCAGAGGAACGGGCAATATGAGTAAGTAACCACCTGACTCCCACGGAGGAGAGAGCCTTCTTCCATAAACCTCCCTGAGTCTGACACCGCAAGGAGCCACCCACCTTGGCCAACCAAGTGGGCAACAGGTTCACAGCCAGGTGTGAAGAGTTAGCACTTCCTGAGCAGAGGCCTCCCATCACCAACTTCCAAGCTGCTAGATAACTCCAGGCCCTGTGGCTCAGTGGATGGGTGCAATGGACAAGGAAGCAGGAAGCCTGGGTTCTTAGTTCCTGCACATGTGTTGTGTAACCAAGTTAATAAGGCTTCCTGAGCCTTGGTGTCTTTCCTCTTAAGTTGAATAAAAGCATAAACTGTCTTATGCCTTTTGGAGGTACAACTGGGGGGATCATAAATGCAAAAGTGGCGTACAAAGTAGAAGTGCTATGGCAATGCTATGTTGTTACTGTTCCCGACTTATCGTTTTCCCATTCGACTGGCTCTTCCAGTCCCTGGATTCTCTTCTTCCATTTGCTTGAAGGCATATTCATTAATTCACTAATGCGTTGGTGTAGGGCAGTAACTGTCTCACTAGACTACACTGTTGGAAAGAAAAGCTAATGAAATGTATAGAAATAAAGCGACGTTTGACATTTTATCAATGCAAGTCACCTCCTTAGATGATAGCTCAGTAAATACTTTTTGACTGATTAAGCAAAAGATTATTTTGATAAGCTATCACACAACTACTAACCTTGCCCCCCTGCCACTATTGCTTCATCTTAAGTTTCCATGGTTACCATTACACATTGCAATGCCCTATCGCTATGTCTGTATAAGCGACTTCCTTGGTTCACTGGTTTCTGGGAATCAGTTTCCCTCCCTGTTTAACAATTGTTGATCACTTAAATCCTACTATCTCTTAGTATTGGATTCTGCATGAAAAACTGTTTCGGGCCCCACTTTTAAATCCTTCATCTCATTCACATAGAAGAAAAGTACCACTAGCCTGGCCTGAACTTAGCGGGGGCTATGGGTGTCACTGTAACTAACTGTCAATAAATCTGTGATGTAGCTCTTTCCTAGACCCTGCTTGGTCGGTTGTGTTGATGTGAGACGTTCAGGTTATTTTCCCTAGACTTTATAAAATCCAGGAAGACTAGTTTAATAAGACTACATTTAACGGAACAGTGAATTGAATGGTACAATTCCACTACCATGTTGAGAGGTAGAAACGGTGTGTAGAAGTGTAATCAGCACAAACCAGTAGATTCTATGTATCTTGGTTTCCTCTTCTCTAAAAAAGCCAAAGTTATAAGAGTCGAGTGAACTAACTACATTGTTGAAATAACCACAACTCAGGAATTGCCCCCCATAGTGGGTTTAGAACTCTAATAAAGGAGCAATCAGGTGATCTTGGGATAAGTAATTTGTTCTGTCTAATCTCTTGTCCTAGAACAACTTCTAAACTTGGCAAGGGGAGCACTCTTGACTATTTCCCCACAGAGAAATCAAATACTTATGGCCTGAATCTATATAAGTTATAAGGGTATAGCAACAACTAACGTGTGACAGCTTGATGGCAGCTCTAAGCACTTATCATGCCTCTTTACAGATGTAGAAATTGAGGTTAAGTTACTTACTCACCCTCAAGGTTGCAAAGCTGAGTTCTAAACCTATGCAGTATAATTCAGAATTCCATAGAGAAATTTCTTGTTTTCTAGACAGGGTTTCTCTGTGTAGCTCTGGCTGTCCTGGAACTCTTCTGTAGACCAGCCTGGCCTTGAACTCAGAGATCTACTTGCCTCTGCCTCCAGAGTGCCGGGATTAAAGATATGGCAGTGAAATTTCTTTTGAAAACATTCGCTGGAGACATCTAAAACTGTAATATCACCTATAATAAGCCTCAAAGGTTTTTTTCTCTCTCTCTCTCTCTCTCTCTTAATGGCTTCTGTTACCTAGGTGTCCAGAAGTTTTTACTTTGGGTTTTTGTTGTTGTTGTTTTGGTCTTAGAACTTGAAACCTATCTCTATATTTAACTCTGTGGTTCTAAATATAGAAGAGCTTTGCTTGAGAGCCAAAAAATGAAAAGTAAAAGTATGGAGTTTTGGGGGGAAACAATCAATTGTTAAAAATATTTATTTCTTTGGGGAGTTTCATTTAGAAATTTACCTCTGCTTGTAGTGTAATTAAAACTGTTCACTTATTCAACCAGTAGTCATTGAGTAACTATTAGACTGTAGACAGAACTGGATAGGGTCTTTGCTCTCAAGGAACTCCAGTCAATGAGGAGAAATAAATGTGACTGCTGTTTAAGTGTTCAATTGGAGGGCCAGAGTACAGGGAGAACTCTACTGGTTCTGCTTGGAAGGATTTGGAAAAGGCTTCACACAGGAGGTTGTATTTGAACTGTGGATCAGGAAGAAAAGAGGTATTCTTGAAGAAAAAAAAAACCCAGTAGAGTGTTTGATGTCGAGGAACCAGTTGATGTTTAGAATGGCTGTGTACCAATTAAGTTATACTTTGATTCTGCCGCCTAAAAAGAAGTAATAAAAAATGAGCCCAACATGATAGTATACATCTGTAATCCCTGAGCCTTGGAGTCTGGGCAGGAAGATGAGCTTGAGATGAGCTGGAGAAGAGCCTACGCTATATACTGAGTTATAGGCCAGTCTGAACTACAATAGTGAAACCCTGTCTCAGTGATGTAGGGAGTGAGTGTACATGACTTTAGAAGGCTTGCACTTCATACTTGGGAGTCAGATTCATTCATGCTTGCATAAAAATACCATATGGAGTCTTCCCTTTGATCAGAAGATGAATTTTACCTCTCGCACTAATGTCATGTGTATGTTTCAATTTTAGGAAGAGGGGTTACTGGGTATAGCCTCTACAGTTTCTATAGTTTCCAGCTATTCTCTCTCCCCTGCCATACTTTGAATTACTGTTTTATAATACTCATCTCCTCCTGTAATTGAGTGGCATTTTCACATTCTGCCTTCACATAATATATTCACAAGGACAGTTTAAAAAAAAATACCAGGACGTACACAAAGGGTGTGAAGGCAACCCACTTAGAGTTTTGGCTAACTTTTTGGTTTCTGGTTTTACTTTGGTCCAGAAATGACTCTGCTTATTCCTCTAGCAACCTATACGCATGAGTGAAAGAGACAGAATCCTTCTCTGGTCAAAGACATGAAACTAATTGTGAAAATCTAATAAACAAGTTGTGTGATCCATTGATTCAATGCACATGAGTGTCTGTGATATGCCAGGCTCTGTACTAAGCACTAAAAATACTAAGACAAAAAGATAGCCATAGAGCCTGTCATTGATGAGTTCTTTTAAAGTTATTGGTTCTTTACTCTGATGTTTATACCAAGAAAGTGTGTAACTTGCAATGCATGCTCTTAAGATTGTTTTAAGACAAGAACTATTTATGCATGAAAGCCAGTTTGGATGGTCAGATACTGATCACCACTATTATCCTTTTAGCATTTGAGCAACATCTACCAATTGGGATATTCAGATGAAGTGAACTAAATGCAGCAAGTCTAATAAACACAGATTATATTTGTGTAGACAGACAGCAAGGTGTTTTGTTGCAAAAGATTTAGCGTTTTCAGTAGCTACTCATTGATGCATTCTTCTGTGTTCCAGGTTAATAATCCAGTTGCATGGGAAGGAACAGCATGTTCAAGATATCATTCCTATAAATAGCCACTTCAGATGTGTTCAAGGTACTTGCTTTAATGACTTAGCTAGTTTAAAAGGCCTCACTTTGGTCATTAATGCAGTGTATAATGTCATACATATTCAAATTTGTCACTGCATGTGAAATGAAATATATTACTCTTCACAGAAAAAGTTAACATTTCTAACCTGCCATTGAAAAGGTGTTATGTTTAAAATGCTAAAGAATTATATTTTAAAATACATGTATATATATTACCTGCTTCCCTGAGTAGGGTTGGAGGTATGTGTAAATAATCTTTTATGCTGAATGGCACATGTGGATAAAATGACTACCTTGGACTTAACCAACATTCATTAGATTGTAATATCTCATACTCAGTTATGGTAGTTCTAGAGCCTTGACATTTGTGAAACCTAACTCTAGGGAGGACATATTTGGCTTTCTGCCCTCACACTTGAGGACTGAACATGGAAAAACCTCATTTCACCTGCTATAATGAAACTCAAAAACTGGGAGAGCTGTGTAGGAGGCATTGCTCCGGAAGCTTCACATTGTTCTAGAAAGGAAGCTGATTACTAGAGAACAAATGTATCACTTCTCCCAAAGGTACAGTGTTTGTTTCAAGTTGAAACATTCTGTATCCAGGGCAGAATCTTGAGAACTTGAGTCCCACCTTGCACAAGTGCTTTCTAATGGGACTTTATCTTTTTACAACAGTGACATGCATGCTGTAAAAGAGTTGGAAAGAGCAGCAGGGCACAGACAAGTCAGCTACATTCCATCCTTTAGAGGCACCTAGCATCTATTTTTCTCTGTGCACATCACATCATTTAAGCAGGACTCATCCTATGCAACATTTTTCCTCTTATCCACTTGCTACTGTATTGAGAGTGTTGTCCATGCATGCTATCAATGGCTATATGCTGTTCCATTTTATGAATAGCCCATAATCTAATTATTCGATCTGGCTGACATTTGGATTACTGGGATAAATAGTAATGGAGTGAACATCACTGTACATAAGTCTTCCCACATATTTATTATTTGCTCAGAATTTATCCCAGTAAGTGAATATAGTCAGTGCACATGACTTTTAAAACAGTATGCTGAAAAGAAAACTCAGTATGTATTAAGAATTCAGAATTACTGAGCTGGCCATAGTGACTCATGCCTATTTTCCCAGAAGAAGGCTGAAGCAGGAGGATTGCAAATTAGAAGCCAAGCAAGAATTCCAGGCTAGATATGGCCATGTAGGGAGACCCTGTCTCCAACAATAACAAAAAACAGAAGGAACAAGGAGAGGAGAAGAGAAGGGAAAGGAGGAAGAGAAAGAGAAGAGGGCAAATTGAAATACCTACAAGAGTAGTGTCTACAGTGTGTGGAAAAGCAAGTCAGCTATTGAGTCTGCCCTATGTGGGAGGCATTGGAGACAAGGTACCTGCATGTTATAATAGGTCACTGCACACACCTTACTTTGTAAGTAGCAGCCTAACACAAGAGAACCAAAAGTGTTGGTGTCCTAGCACAGTTTTAGCCTTTCCTACTACTTCTAGCATCACATTTCTATTATTGTTGAGTAAGGACTGGATGGCCTGTTGCTAGGTTGCAGTGGAGAATATGTATGCCATTGTTTCCCCATGACAAATTGAAATGTCACGCCCTTGGGTTTTCACTTCCTTTCTACCTCCTGACTTGTGTATCTGTTTGGAAAACTCATCACTCAGAGTTTTGTGTAACTAAAGGGTACCGTAGAGCAATGGTGACTATGGACTGTCTTCATTTCCCACTTATATCCCCCTGGAACAGACAGTAGTGAGATTCCATTCTGCAATTAGACATCTTAGTTCCTTACTAATTGCATTTTTTTTTTTTTTTTTTTGTGCACCTGAATAGTAGAAGCTGGTGTTGACTCTAGTGTCCTAAGGGAGTTAGAAAAGTGTGTGGCTTCCCATCTGATCAACCAAGATCCTGGTTGATTCCAGATCAGAACCACAGGTCAACTGTGCTCAAATCTAGGGAAGTCAGAGAGGAAAAGGTAGGTTGAGTTCAGATACTCAGAGAGAAAAAAAAAAAGGAAGTCCAGGAAAACCAAGGAGAGAAAGGAGAACTCTATAAACTTGCAAACAGCTGTGCTGTCTTTTTTTTTTTTTTTTTTTTTTTTTTTTTTTTACCCATTGATACATTTGTACATAGTAGGGAGTAAAGTGTAACAATTTGAAACATGTAATGATCAAATTGAAATAATGTTTCTTTGTTATTCTAAGATCTGTAATACTGTGTAATATACTGTAGTTACCCTGCTATGCTGTAGAACACTAGAATTTAGTCCTCCTAACTGTACTTGCTATCCATTATCCTCTCTCTCTCTCTCTCTGTCTCTCTTTCGCTCTCTCCCTCTCTCCCTCCATCCCCCCTTCCTCCCTCCCCCCTCCCCCCTCTCTCTCAATCTCTTTACCCACTGCTCAATCCTAGTCTCTAGTACTTGCTTCTCTGTTCTTCTGTGAGATCATTTTTTTTTCAGCTTCCACATGTAACTGAGAACATTCAATATGTGTCATTCTGTGACTGGTTTTGTTTCACTTAGCATAATATCCTCCAGTTTCATCCAATAGCCAAAAGAACTGGATTTCATTCTTTTTGTCCTTAAGTAGTATTCACTGTGTGTTGTACACTATATCTGATTTATTCATCTGTCTGTGGTCACTTCAGTAGATGGATCTTGTGAATAATGTTCCAATTAAGATGGCACTCTGTAAGTGTCTGAAGCTTCTTATTGGGTATGATACCTTTTGGGTCCACAGCCATTCACTAAAAGGGAAGAACTTTAAGTATATTCTACTCTTAGACAAGGAAAAAGCAGAGGTAATGAGATCATTGACAAAGTTTTGGAGACGATGTCTGAGTTGAGAGAATAATTCTGTAAAGAATAATCATCTCTGATTAGTCATTTCCCTGGCTTTCTGTAAGATCTAAAGAACACAGAGAGCTAAACTTCCCTTACTTGCATGAACTTGTTATCATGTTCCCTACTATTAAGTTACTGTCCCATGCTTGCTTTTCTTTGAGGAACTCCAGTTTGGTCCTTGATTAGTCCTTTTTTTTTTTTTAAGTTGAATTGTACATAGTCTTTATAACCTGGGGCTATTAAAATTCTTTTTTAAAATATGCCAAACAAAAATAATCAAAAGGTTCTTTAATGTGTTCTAAGACTCAGGAGGGGTCACTGGGTGATGCTGTTATTTAGTTATGAAATAGTGCTTTGGTGGTAATGAGTAGTTTTCTCCTCTGTGATTCTTTTGTGTTTTTTCATCTTAGAAGCAGAAGAAACTCTTTTGATTGACATTGCATCAAACAGTGAGTATCTTTCTGAATGGAGTTGATTTTCATTCTACAAATGCTGACTTTATTACTCTATATTTAAGAAAATTTCAGGGGTACATCTTGTATTTTGCCATCTCATTCTGCAGTCACCATTTTCTTAAGGCTACCCTGTACATTATCCTCATCTCTCAAAACCATTCCAACTGAGCCTGAGAAAGCACAGGTAGCTGCTAAGAATCTTTATGAAGCTGAAATGTGATCGACTCTTCTGCTGCTGAAGAGCGTTAAGTCACTTGAATCTGCAAGTATTGCCATTGCCAATGACATCGCTGCTGCGGGACTGATTAATTAATTAATTATAAAGAAGAGTTAGGAAAAGGCTTAAAGCACTTAAGGTTTACGAGGTCACTTTTTTTTCTTTTTATTAGTGTCTTTCTGTGTCTCTGTATGCAGATGAGCATGTGTTTGTGTGTGTACCTGTGTGTGCATTTGTTTGTGTTGAGGCCTTGAGCCAACAACAGTAGGTAGCATTTTTAGGTGTTATCCACTTTTATTTTTGAGACAGAGATTCACCAGCTTGGAGTTCACCAATTAAGCCAGGCTGGCTGGCCAGTAAACATCTGAGGAATCTACTTGCTTCTGATTCCTCAGCACAGATTACAAGTGTGTTCCACCATTTCGAGCTTTTTTACATAGGTTCTGAAGATCAAACTCAGGTCCTCATGCTTAAATGCCAAACACTAAGCTATCTACCCAGCCATATTAGATTTGTGTGTGTGTGTGTGTGTGTGTATTTTTTTAATATAATTATGTTCTTTTCCTTCTTTCCTATCCTCCCCTAGCTCCTCTAAAGTTCACTCCTTCCAGTTTCTTCCATGTCCCTGCTACTATCAAACTGATAACCTCTTTTTTATTATTATTGTTATATATGTATGCATAAATATACAAATACAACCTGCTCAATATGTTTCTGTTGTGTGTGTGTACATGGTTTTAGAGCTGCCACTTTCTATTGGATAACAATTAGGGACTCATGCCTGGGAGAGGCTAATTCTCCCTCTCTCCACAGTCATTAGTTGCCTTTTCTTTTGTTGTTGTTGCTAGCATATGAAGTAATAGATTTCATCATGGTATTTTCAAACATACTTTGGCTATATTGATTTCCTCCCACACCAGCCTGCCTCCTTCCTGCCAACCCCTTTCTTCTCACTGTCCTCTTTCTGCCTACATGTCACATATATTCTTTTATATGTCCTCTCCCCACCCTCCCCTTAAGCTCTTTTCCTCTCTCATGGTCCCCTTTCCTGTACCCACACACGCAGATGCCCCATATACATATTAAAATTTAGGCTCTGCATATGAGGAAAAACATGTGGTATTCGTCTTTTTTGAGTCTGAGATACTTTGTTAACATTGTCAGTGCAATTTGTTACCCCTGTTTTCCTGCAAATGTCAAGATTCTGTTTTTCTTTGTGGCTGAATAAATGGTAATCTTTTGACTACTATTATATTGTAGACTTTTCTCCCACCTGCTTTTGATGTTTTTGTGCAAATTCACAATGTTTCCACCTATTCCTTATATTATGTGGAAAGGCATGGAGTCCATTAAATTACTTGTTCAAGCATTCTCTTTTCTTTTTTGAAATAATTTGTGTTCTACTTAAGCACTGTTCCCTTAAGGCCTCCATTCATCAGAGGGAACATGGTCTTCCTTTTGCTGTTGCTGTGCTTTCATTTTTTTATCAGTTTGATGCAAATCACTGACTTTCTGTGCAAGATGTTCTTTGTTTATCGTCTAATTGTGCTGTGCTCTGGAGAGGAGAAAATGGCACTTGATTGCTACCGTGGCTACTGTGTGGTTGCTATGGAAAGTGTATCTGACCATGCGAATCGAAATCCAGTGGTTTGCCTTATCTCATTTGAGTCCACGGATGAGTAGATCTTGCCATTTAGCTTGGGGCTATGGGTTGTACATAATTTTGTTTGGAGACAGTCTCTACCCTTGGTGCTATTAGGCGCTATTAATTTGTACTGAATGGTTTTCTACTTTGGGTTTATTATTCCTTTCTTTAATCATAAAATATGGAAGTCTTAAAGACTGGTCCTAACATGCTATGTAAACCTAGCTGCTAGCTTCTATTGCAGATATCCAAGAGAGAAAATAACTCAGAATCAGTGTTTTATTTTAGCAAGACAAGAGAAGACACAACAGTACCAGGTTGAAGCTGTAGCTCAGTTGAACAGCGTTTGCCTAGCATACAAAAAGCTCTAGTTCCATCCCTAGCACTACATAAACTGGGTGTGGTAGAGTACATCTATAACGTCAGTGCTTGAAGTACAGGAAGATCAGGAATTCATGTTTCTCCGTGGTTACATAGTGAGTTTCAAGCTAGCCTGGCCTACATGAAACCCTCCCTGTTTCCGAAACAGGGTTTTGTTTATGTTTTGCTGTTGCTGTTGTTGTTTAGGAATATAGGGTCAGGGAGAGGTCTCAGTGAGTAAAAGCACTTGCTGCATGAGACTGACAATCTGAGTTTAGCCCCTTAAATGTAGTAAACACCCTTTAATAATAGCCAAGACTGATTTTAGTGTAAATATATATTGTCTAGATGATACTAGTAAATGTCTTGAAAATGATTTTTCTGGTTATAAGGTTAACAGATCTTAATTATGTATAGTTTGTGTCATTAAAAAATTTGAAGTATCATATTAAGATTATTAGGTAGAATGGGAGAGATGACGCAGCAATTAAGACCAAATATTGCACTTGCAGAGGACCCAGGTTCAGTTCCCAGCATCTATTTCAGGTGGTTCACAACTGCCTATAACTCCAGCTCCAGGGGTTCAATGCCCTCTAGACTCCACAGACACCTGCACTCATATGTGTGTAACATACACACATAATTAAATTTGAATCTTTGAAAATTATCATATAATCTTGAAGTTATACTGTAGCTAACATTGATATGAATTTCTTACTGCTTTAGATTATATTTCCAAATAATTGGAATCCCTCTACATAGTTTTTGTGGGAGGGTTGTAATGCTGAGCTTTGACCCCAGGGGCCTGATGCTTGTTAAACAAATGCTCTACAACTGAGCTTTATTTACAGTTTTTATCATGGATTTTCACTTAATACTTTACCAGAACATTTCCTTTATGTCATTTTTTAAAAAAATCATTTTAAACACAATTTTGTTGTTCTTTGTTTGAGACAGAGGTCTATCTATACTAGGCTAGCCTCAAACCCCTTATGTAGTTCAAAGATAATATTGATCCTCTACCTCCCCAGTGCTGGGATTAATATCTTATTCCTCCATGCTTGGTTGTTTAAATATTATTTTTAATAAGCAGTATTTCACCACAACTATTTTGTCAGAGTTTTATTAAGTAGTTTCTTTATAAAATTAAATCATCTTGAGGGAGCATAATGCATCTCTTTATTTGGGTCCACTTTTATAGTTCTCAGTAAAACCTTGTAGTTTTTTTTTTTTTAATGTATATCAGACTTTTAGGTTAAGAATTTCATGGTGGATTTGATTTTCTGATATTGTGGGATTTTCTTTCTGTTATCTTCTGATTGCTTATTACTAGCATATAGAACAACTAATGAGGCATGGATGTTTTATCCGGCCACTTCACTTAATTTTTTTTTTTTTTTTTTGCTGTTTTTCCACTTTGGTAGATATATAACCTTAATTATTTTCAAATAACTATACTGCCTTATTTCTAATAGCTATAGTTATTGGCTGTCTCATGTCTTACTGTACCAGTGAGAATTTGGGGACCAATGTTAAATAATGGTGTTAATCTTTGTGTAGCTCTGAGTTTCAGTGAAGATGCCTCAGGTGTTATTTCCCAGTTAAAGAGAGTCTTGCCTGATGGTTTTTAAAAAATTAAGAAATTACATTTAAATCAGGCCTGGCATGTGCCAGTAGTCAAAATACTTGGAAGGTTTAAGCAAGATGATCATGAATTCAAGGCTAGAGCTATCTAGCAAGTTCAAGACCAGCCTGAGCAACATAGCAAGAATCTGTCTCATACAAAAGGAACAAAACCAACAGCAAAAATGCATTTAAGTTTTTGCTATTTTTTAACATTGTGAATATATACACTGAATTTTATTAAATTTTCTCCCTGTTGTTCATGGAAATGAATATATTTTCTCTTTTTCTTTCCTTTATATTTTATGACCTTTAGAGGAACCCTATTATGCTAATTTTAAATAATTACCCTACCTATTTTATTCATTATTCCACAAATATTTGTTGAGTGCCTTCTGTTTGTCAGACCTTGCTGTAAATCCCACAAAATCATCAGAGCACAGCAGAGATAAGAGGCCTGCTGTTGCTTTGGTTTTCCCTTCTGTGATTTTTGTTGCTAGAGACACAGAGATTATTATAATACATTAATTTACTCAATAAACATCTGAGTACATTTGGGATGCCATGCATTGTGCTAGGCTCTAAAAACAAGAGAAAACAACACACTCTTGGTAGTTCATGTATTTTAATGTAGGTAAGTGACTTTCAGCCGGTTTAGATGCTTACACATGTGTGGATTTGATAAATACTGACAAGAAAAAGTGCAGAGAATTTACAAGAAGGGCTACTAAGTGGGCAGGCTAGTCAGGAAAAACATTTACTAAGAAGAAACATTTAGATTGGAACTGGGGACTTAAGGGACAGATGACCACTAGGGAGATAAGAGGTATTCCAGATAAAGGGGCCAAGAGACTCCAAATTTAGAAGTACCCTGACACTATATGAGTAATAAAAGACTTGGGTACCTGGAATAGAGCTTGAGTACCAAGGCAAGAGGAGCTATAGCCAGATCCAGTAATCTTGTAAGCCACAGTGTTGAATCTGCATTTTTAGATTTTAAAATGAGAAGTTAGGGGTTTTATGCTGATATAGCATCATTTGCCTGGAAGCAGAAAGACCACTTAGGAGGCCGCTTTGGTTGTTTATGCTAGAGAGTATGGTAGTGATAGAAATGGAGGAGAAGTGAACAGATTTGATAGATGAATTTGG